GCAGAGAAAGGTCAGGTCGTCCCTGTGGCGTCCTAGGCAGATAAACACAAGTCTGTGATGGCTTTATCGGCCCGATCACCTGGCCACCTTGACACGCACAACAGGGGGCACATCCCCCGGAGCCCCGGGGGTAATGTGCTAACTCGGCACCAACATGTGTTTAGCCTCCTGCTCCTTAAAGGTTGTTTCGACTACCCTCAAGCCTTGGCTTTCCCAGCAGATTAGGGTTAGCTGGCACATGCTGAAGAAAAGGCGCCAGGACCTGGAGGGGCGGCCTTGCTGCAGACGCTGCGCCCTCACAGCTGCGCGGGCCAGCTCCCAGGACCTGGCTCGGGCCGGCACGTAGAGCACCTTTATTCACTTGGACTCGAGTCTCTCTCAGGCCTCTAGTAGTTTTCACGTGCCAGCTGCACACGAAATCTTCTGTTAGAGTTAGCCCTAAGGCTTTAGTCTTCTTGGTGCGGTCTTAAGCAGTACTGTCAGTATTGTCGCCGTTTTGTTTCAGATTGCGCTTTGCTACTTCTGAAGGAAAAACCCACCTCTGTGGGGCTCCTCAGCCAATAAGCACTTCACGGGTGGTCCCAGCCTTGGGGTGACTCCCCAAGTGGGTCCTGCAGCCTGACGCAGCCCTGACGCTCTCCTACCAGAGGAGAGGCCCAGCGCCGCAGACTGCCCCCAGCTTGATGCAACAGTTACAGTCCCATGTTGTGGCTTGTGCTCTGGCTGAATCAGGCTCCCATCACGCCACCCAGGGCTCAGTGAATTTACTGGAGAAGCAGACATTGCTCAGGCCAGCATAGTGCTCGCAGTTTATTATCACAGTTTATGTCCGGAACAGCCGGACAGAAGACCCGGGGTGGGGGCTGGGGCCCCCACAGCCCTGGGCGCAGCCTCCCCGCATGCTGAGGTCACCGGTCAGCGGCCGGGCTCCTAGCCAGCCCCATCCTCCCCCTCGTTGCGGGCACTGGCGACTCGGGCCCCAGCTCACCCAGGGGGCTTCCAAGTCACCTTTAGTTTGAAGTCGTGTCAGAGGGGCCTGACACGAGTAACGGAAGACTCCGTCTGGAAAGTTCGGTTTTAGGAGTCCGCTTCGGAGCCAGGCCGGGTCCAGGACCAGACGCGTGCGGACGTGTGTCCATAGCCCCTTGCTCTTCTGCTGCTCAGAAGTACAGCCGCTTCTTGCCTGGATCTTGCCTCTAGCTGTGCTGCCTCATTTGTGAGCCGTAACAGCTTCTTGTCTGTTGTTTGGAGGGTGCTAGGTGTGGAGTTACGTCACGAGCAGAGGAGGCGGTTTGACCTCTTCCCTTCTGGTTGGACCTCTCTCCCCACCTGCTGTAGCTAGGACTTCTGTCACACGGCTGGGCTGTCGTGAAAGGGGGTCTCCAGCGGTTCATTCTGTACTCGAGAGAGAAATGCCCTTCATACTGTTAAGGAAGTTGCCTCGTGCTCTTACTTCGTTGAGTATCTCCATCTTGAGGTGTTGGGTTTTGTCAGGTCTTCTTTCTGCATCAACCAGATGGTCACGTATCCTGTCAGCGCAGTGTGTCCCATGGGTGCAACCTGCGCCCACTCCGTTCCCGGGACCAAGCCCCCTGGCGTGGCATGTGGCCCCATGCGGGCTGCGGCTTTGGCCTTCGAGGGTGGGGTCTCTGCGGCCTCAGTGAGGGTGGCCTGTGGCTTTCTTGATGTCCTTGGTCCATGTCGGGCGTCAGGGTGATACCTGGAATGTGAGTTGGAAGAGCTGTGGAAGACTGACGTCCTGTTTTGAATATTTGATAGAATTTTCCAGAGAAAGCCCAGGCCTGGGTTTCTCTTATGCAGTGTCTCGGCATGTCGCGCCTGTGCAGATTCGCTTCTCTCTGGGAATCCGGCCGTTTCCCTGGGGTCCGCGGCCTTTCCCGCTGTCCCCGGAGCCCCCATTCCCAGAGCCCAGTAGTAACGGCCCTCCTCTCATTCCTGACTTTGCTCCCCCCTCCTCATTTTCCTTGCTCTTACCTCAGAGTTTACCGATTTTGTTGATCTTCAAGCCGTTCCGCATCTCCGCGTTCTCCCCGCCCTTCTGGCTGGCTTCCTTCAGCGCAGGCGTCCCCCGGGCGGGCGTTTGGTCGGAAGGCCTAGCCCGGCTTTGGCCAGCCTGGAACTTGAGCTTGCCCCCCACCTGCCTCCCTGAAGCAGAAGACTGAATGGGCTCTCTCTCAACAGCCGGGACACTCCGGGGGTGGGGCGAAGGCGGCACAGGGAAGCAGGCTGCTCGCCGTCCTGCTGGCCACAACCAGCACCTCTCCCCTCCTCCAGGGAGTGAGAGTCACTTCAGAACACCGGTATATGGACTCTCCTGCCCAGGGCCCGCAGAGCTGGCCGGTTCTCTTCCAGTTGGGGATCCTTCACCCGAAAACAAAGCACACCCACACCTCATGGCAGTCTCACACTCTGCCGGCCACCTCAGGAGCCCCCCCAGACCGCACACACCACCCCAGCCCGCGGACAGAAGCGCAAGGGCAGGGCCCGCCGGAGGCCAGGGGCACAGCCCCGAGGACCAGGGCAGTTTATGGGGCCCGGTCCTGAGGGGTCAGCTGATTCCAGAACGGTTCCCAGGTGAAGACACCTGGCCCCAGCCTGCCTGAGGAACCCCAGGTCTGCTCTTCAGCTGGGGCTTCACCTCCAGACTCTCAGAGGACATTTCTTACTCCCCACCCTAAGTCAGGACTTGGGGTTCTAGGTTCCCAGCCCCTCAGGGCAGGGTGAGTCTCAAGGATGTGTGGGGTTAGCCAGGAATCACCCCGGAGAGTACATAAAGCAGGCAGCTGGCATCTCAGTGTTGATGTGACAGAATCCCGCGGCCTGCCCCACCCGGCATCTTCCAGGCTCATGATGCCCAGGCTGTGTGCTGTGCCAGCAGGCACAGGGCGGGGCACTGTGAATTGGGGCAGAGGATAAAGGAGAGTCTGGGGGCCCTCGGTGGATTTTTCCAGCACTGATGCTCTCTACAGTGGCACAGCCAGGCGCAGGGCGGCAGGTGGGGGCCTGGAGGCTGCCCCCCAACCCCCAGGCACGCCTTCACTCGTCCTCTGGGCACTCGTGAGCTCGGCCTTGTACCGCTGTCCCACCACAGCCACTGGCCGTGTGACACCACGAGCGCCTCGGCCTCCAGGCCTGGCTGCCACGCTTACGCACACCACACCATGCCACGCTCGGGGGGTCCACAGTCAGGCGTGTACCCTGCGCCCACACACCCGCGCACCCCCGCGTTAGCACAGTCATGCCACAGGTGGTAGCCGCAGAGGCCGCGGCATAAAAAGCCTGACCACTCACTCACCCCTCTCCCAGGAACCAGGTACGCTGGGCACATCAAGGTGGTGGGCAGGGCTGGGGGGGCAGGCAGGCATGCGAGCCTCCGGCCCCCACAATCTTTACACTCTTTCTCGGGGCTCTCTTGGCCATGTCTTGTGGTCTGGCCTCTTCCGTGACCACTCGCCCTCTCACCGCCGTCCTCTGCCGCTGAGTGACGGCACCCTTGAGCCCCGCCCTGCTCGGCACAGGTGTGCTCGCTTGCACATGCGCACACAGCCACGCCCAGGTGTCCGCAGTCAGGCACACGCGCCCACCCCACGCGCCTTCTGCGTGAACACCATCAAGGCCACGGCTGATGGTCAGAGGCCAGTGGCGCAAAAAGCCTGATGGATTAATGTTTCCCGCAGTGGTCCCCTCCTGTGAGCAGCCCGGAAGGACCCGCGCTCAGGTCTCACGGTGGCACCCGAGCTGGCTTCCTCTCCCACCCTGGCAGCGCGGGCCTGGGCGGTTTACCCACAAACCACACTTCTTCACTTCTTTCCTGCAGAGACATGAGTCAAGTTCTCGATGCCTATGAAAACAAGAAGCCGTTTTACCTGTACACGGGCAGGGGTCCCTCCTCCGAAGCCATGCACCTCGGCCACCTCATCCCGTTCATTTTCACCAAGTGAGTGTTTCCTCTTTGTCTTTATCGGTGAATCGGAAGTGGCAGTTACAGACCGCGGCCAAAGCTGACGAGGTCGTGTCTGCCGAACAAAGCAGGTGGTTGGCACCTTGGCGGCTTCTGTTCACTGTTCCTGGGGTCACCTTTGAGGAAGGGTGGCCTGGTGGACAGGGTCGACTTCGTTTCTCCTCTCCCCGTCCTCTGCCCCGGAGGGGACGTCTCTGAGCTCTGTTTTCCGAGTCTGCACGGCGCCAGCCCAGTGCCAGCCGTGGGAAGTCACCGCCCTCCAAAGGGCGTGTGTAGTTCCTGTGGGAGCTGAGGCAGAGGTGTGACCCTGTCACCACTCGGCCACACAGTCGTGACATCTGTGGACAGGACTTTTTTTTATTTTTAATTTATTTTTTATTTATGCATCCAAGAGCTGGGGTACAGACCAGAGGTGTGGGGGTGAGAGGATTCACCAGTAGGGAAGCAGACCAGGCAGATCTGATGAAATACACTGCTGAGGGGAGCAGGGGAGACAGGCAAGGTCACCCCTGTGGGTCACTCCCTGGCCGGTGGTTGCAGACAGCTTCATAGTGCTGCACTTTAACCCGTTGTACCACCAGGGACGTTTTGACATAAGTTGTTAGTCGTGTTGAAAATCAAAATGAGGAGCTCTCCCTGGTGGTGCAGCAGGTAAAGCGTAGCGCTGTGAAGCTGGCCACAGCCGCCACAGCACAAGTTCCCAACTGCTCCCTCAGCAGTGTGTTTCAGTAGATCTGTCTGTTCTGCTCCCCACTCTGTCTCTGGTGAGGCCTCTCATCCCCTGTGCCTCTGGCCTGCACCCGTTCTTGGATGGATGGATGGGTGGATAGATAGACAGATAGATGGACAGACTGATAGAGAGAGAGAGATCTAGCTTTAAAAAATAAATACACAGAATCAAAACGAGGCGCTTGTGCTGAGCCCGCCGAGATTAATACCTGACTGACAGCTTTCAAGCACCCTGCAGCCTCCACCTCACCCTGGGTGTGGTCCCAAGAGGTCACCCCCACCCCCCAGAGGGAGGTGCGGTGATGTGCCTGCCTTTCCCATCCCACACGGGAGGCCACCTGGGCACAGCTCCCTCTGCCCACCCCGCCCTCTCCCGGCCCCTGGAGTCCTCCCCCCGCGCCCCGTGCGGCTCCGCGGTGGCTCGGGAAAGCCGCTCCGACCTCCACCCGCGCCTCGGAGGTGGTCGCTCCAGCAGGCGCCATTCTGGGTGCCAGGGCATCTGCGGGGAGCTGAGCCCGCCTCCCTCGTGTCTAGGTGGCTGCAGGATGTGTTCAACGTGCCGCTGGTCATCCAGATGACGGACGACGAGAAGTACCTGTGGAAGGACCTGACCCTGGACCAGTCCTACGGCTACGCCGTCGAGAACGCCAAGGACATCATCGCCTGCGGCTTTGACATCAACAAGACTTTCATCTTCTCGGACCTGGACTACATGGGGTAAGGCGGAGGCGCCCGCTGCCCTTAGTAAGTAGGTGCCAGAAGAGGGCAAAAGCCCGACACTTTACACATTGATGAGGATTAGGTCCGGCCCTTGGGCGCCACGGCTGAGTGTAACACCCCTTTCTCCCGTCACTAAGTTAGGACCTCGTTTATGGCTTTTATTCCAGTCGGGCTTTTCTTCCTCAGCCGCGACAGGGCAGTGCTTCTGCGCCAGCCTGTCTCTCTGGCACGTCTGTCAGCTCCTCCCGGGTGCCCTCGACCCCACAGACGGGACTCCTGGCTGCTCTTCACTGTCCAGTCTCTTTCCTCAGCCACTTTATAGACCAGAGTGTTTCACTCTCATCATCCTTGAATTGAGCTTCTGAGGCCTTGAACTTTATCCCAAGTAACTGTCACAAAGTATGCTGGAAAAAGACGGCCTTTCGCTGTCCTACGAAGGCTGTCCAGCTCCTCGATGCTCTGTGGCCTCCGGCACGGTGCTCCCTAAGGCACTGGTGGCCCGGGCAGCGGTGGCTCCGTGGGCCGAGACGCCTTGAGTGTGCGCTGGCCCTGGCTCGGCCTCCGGGGTGGGGTCTGCGCTGGCCCCACAGGGTGCGGGAGCTGTGTGAGCCCTCCTGGGTTCACACTGGTGCCCGCCCTTCCAAGGCTCAGCCCGAGCTGGCCCCTGCCGTTGTCCTGCGCGCCTCTACAGCACTGCGCTCACAGCGGTTTTAAAAACCTCCCGAGAGGACGACGCCCCGGGTAACCCTGGTGCTGCAGCTAGTGAGTGCATGCATTCCCTCGTTTTGCCCCCGGGGTCTTGGTCATTTCTGTGGCTTCTGCCTTGTGGGCATGGAGGCAGCAGGGTCTCCTTGAGGAAAGGAAAGTGGACGGGGCCCAGCCCTGACACCCCCTTTCAGAGCCGGGTCCCACCTGCCGCCTCAGCAAGCGCTGGGGCAGACAGGCCATGGGCGTCGCCGGGATCTTCCCTCCCTTTTCTTAAAGCCGCGGGCTGGGGAAGGACCCACTGCGGCTCTGCTGCTCTGAGGACGGGCCCTTGTCTCTGTCCCGCCCGGCCTGGGGGCGGCTCTGCCCCACCCCGTGCCTCGCCTTGCCCATCCGTGTCAGGGTAGAGCGTTCGCTTGCTGCCGAGCGTAGCTCGCAGCTCGTGACGTGACCCTTGACCTCCTGAGCCTGTCTGACTGCTAACCTGGGGACGGCGGGCACAGCTAGCGTGTCCAGCACGCACCGCGGCTCTGGCCTCGGGTGCAGATACCGCAGCAGTCAGTGGCCGCTCTTCCCTGTTGTCCTTCTGCTGCCCGCCTGTGGTGGGGCCGGGGGCTGCCGCCTTCCTTCGCCAGAGGCCCGGGTTCGGCACCCACACTGTGTCTCCATTCTGCATAGCAGCGTAGCTGCCCAGCCCCGGCTCGTGTCCACGCCAGGCTCCAGCCCTGTTGTGGGGTTGGGAGCGCTGGCGCTGCTCTGGGGCAGGCCATACCCCCAGGCCATCTGCTCAGCAGTCGGCCGCACTGCAGGTGGGACCCACGCCCCAGTGGGACAGCTCCAGCCGAGCTCCCCACGCACCAGCCCCACCCCGGCCCCGTGGGGTGTAATCCGAAGCCTGCAGGCCTCCGGGTTCACTCTGGTGCGCCCCGCCCTGGGTGCTCTCTCTGTGCGAGGACGGCACCCTCAGGCGCTCTGGTTCTGCCTCTTCCAGGTCGAGCTCGGGCTTCTACAGGAACGTGGTGAAGATCCAGAAGCACGTCACCTTCAACCAAGTGAAGGGCATTTTCGGCTTCACGGACAGCGACTGCATCGGTAAGGGCCCAGCACGTGCCGGCTCTGCGGCCCCCGAGAGCCAGCTCCGAGGACGGCGGCCGTGCAGCTGGCTCTGTGGGCGTGGACCCCGAGGCAGGCGTCCCGCCACGGTTCTGACCATCCTTTTGCCCCTGGGCCTCGGCGCCCACCCTTGAGAGGGGAGAGCCTGGTGGACCCCCTTCGTGGCACCATCCCTAACCACGAAGCCACGCTACGCGCTTGAGGTGGTGACGTCGCGGCCGGCTGCACAGTCTGCTGCCAGGGATTGAACCCTCACTGGGCCGGGCACTTGCTGTGTCCCTTTGGCCAGCCAGCGGGACCATCCAGGCCACTGTCTGTCAGCCGTGTGGGCGAAGCGTCCCCGCCACAGACCTGCGAAGAGCGGGGGGCCCAGGTGTCCCCAGCAGAGCCGCACCCGCAGCAGCAGTGCACGGCACTCTGCGCTGTACAGGGTATGGGGGTGACAGTAGGCATCGCTTGACTCCCGAAGAAATGGGGTGCCTCTGGGGGAGAAAACAATCCAGGAGAAAGCGTCATGTCGAGACGAAGTCGCAGGAAGAGCAGCAGCCGCGGACAGGGCGGGGCCACATGGAGCCCTACGCGGGGGCCCCAGTGCCGCTGCAGGCGGGGCCGGGGCACCCCCAAGGCCTCAAGTTCTCGTGATTGTCAAAGATAGGGAGCAGCCTGACGCCCGCGGGGCAGAGAAGGGCTGGCAGTGCGCCAGGCGTGCGTGAGGCCCAGAGTCTGGCGGGCGGTGCAGTTTCCTCCCCACCTCTGCGTTCAGGTCTCCTCTGACGACCGCCACCCCCTCGCCTAGGGGGTTTGCTGTGCTCATCCCCTCCTGGGTGCAGCGGCCAGAAAACCTTGGCCTCGGGTAAAAGTCTCTCGTCCCCCTTTCAGGGAAGATCAGCTTTCCTGCCATCCAGGCGGCGCCCTCCTTCAGCAACTCGTTCCCGCAGATCTTCCGGGACAGGACGGACATCCAGTGCCTTATCCCTTGTGCCATCGACCAGGTAGGAGGCGGGCGCAGGGTCCTGGAGACGGGGGCGTGGAGCCCCGGGGGCTGCTCACCGCTCCCTCCCGGGGCCTCTCTCCCCAGGACCCTTACTTCAGGATGACCAGGGACGTGGCCCCCAGGATCGGCTACCCCAAGCCAGCGCTGCTGCACTCCACCTTCTTCCCCGCGCTGCAGGGCGCGCAGACCAAAATGAGCGCCAGCGACCCCAACTCCTCCATCTTCCTCACGGACACGGCCAAGCAGATCAAGACCAAGGTGAGGCTGCCCAGCGGGGCCGCGCGAGGCGAGCAGGCCTCAGAGGAGCCTGGGGCGGCCCTGCGCCAGCCTTGTCGGCGGGCCCACGGGGCGAGCATCTCCTGTCTCACGGAGGCTCACGGTGGGAAAAGCGCGTTCCTCACGGCGACGCGAAGGGCTCGGCTCCGCCGAGGGCCACGCAGCCCTGCGCCCCCAGCCCCTCTGGGTGCCCCAGCGGCCTCCTGGCCCGTGAGCGGCCACCACTGGGGAGGGGCCTAGGGCTAGTCTGTGCCCAAGACTCCTTGCCGAGGCAGATCTGAAAAATGTCCTTCAGCCGGACAGTCGCGCCCCCGGGGAGCCGCAGCGTGCAGCTGGCGAGTCCACAGACAACCCGCGGGCACAGCTGAGGTCCTCGCCCCGGGGCCATCTCTGCACGGGCCCTCACTGCCCACGGGCGCCTGCTACTGCGCGTGGAGCTGCCCGTGCTGGGTGGGTGAACAGTTAAGTGGGCGTGACAGAAACTGAGGCGTGTCGCACCCCCTCTGAGTCGCTGCCAGCTCCTGGCCTTCTGGAAAGTCCCGAGGTTTCTGGGTGACAGGGACACCCTCTTTCAGGAAATGACACGCCCACTCTCCTACCCTTCTCTTTCCCTTTCCCTTTTGCCAAAGCTTGGAGGGCGCAGGGGGGTGGGAGGCCGCCGCGCCCTCCAGCGGCGCCACCCTCTGCTCTGCTTCGAGACGTCGCGGGTGTTTTTCATGTGCTGGGAACCAGCAAAGCCCCTGCGCAGGGTGAGCAGGAGAGACCCAGGGCCCGGGCCTGGGGCCCTGCGGGCAGGCCGGCCCCCACTGGGTCGGCCGCAGGGCACCCTGCTCCCTGTGCCAGCTCAGGGACACAGGGCGCCCTGCTCCCTGTGCCAGCTCAGGGAGCCCCAGCAGCCGCCTGGGGCTGTGTGCGCCCCTGGGTGAGGCAGCCCGGGGCAGAGGCCTGCAGCTCCCTTGCTGGGAGCAGTGTGC